AACACGACTCTTCTGTCTTTATTTATTTGAGCATCAATTCAGAAATAAAAAGAAACTGCACAAAAGAAAAAAGTGCAAACATTGAGAAATCTGGAGCTTAACTATGAGTAACACTAACGTCTGTGAACTGATCAAACTGAATCGTCTCTGTCCTCGACAAAATCACTGTCAGGAGTAAATCAGGACTGAACAGAGATCTGCAGGTGAACGTCACTGACAACGTGTTAAACTCTTTAGAAATGTGCAGAAAACTTCACCTGTATAAAAGTCAGTCCAGAGTCCAGTTAGTCTGTTTATATGATTGTTTTAGTTGTTCCTTGTTCTACCCTGTTGAGCCACAGAGGGGCGCACTTACACACTGAGTGTGTGTGAACAGGACCTATGTGCCATGAGTCTGTGTCACATGTGGGTTTGATTTTCTGAAATGAGTGAAGTTTGACTTTGACTTTTTCTACATGTGATTTGAATCATATTTAAAGAGCAGCAGCGACGGGTGAAGGCGACCGGCACAATCACGTCCAACTTTTTATTTTTAACATTTTGACAAACAGCCTTTTTACATCGTTTCATTGGTGGACCTTGTCTCGGGTCTACGGCTCCATCTGCTGGTCACACACATCAGTTACATAAAGGAATAAAACAAATCCTTTTCTATTTGTGGAGCTTGCAACCAAAAAAGGACTGAAGTGCTTCTAAAATAAGTGTAACATGAAGAAAACTACGTCAATCGTTTGTGCTTCATTTGTGATGCAAAAAGTTTTGTTTGTGCTGTTTTAGTTTTGGAGATATTATTGATTCTTTTATAGGTTAATTTGGGGTCAGCAGCTCCAGGAAACTTCACAATGAAATAAAACGACACAAAATGGAGTCGGTCGTTTGTGTTTCTTTTAGTTTGTGTGATTCTGGTTCTTTAGAAATGAACAGTTTTATTTTGGTCGACGTCATCCAGCTCCTCAAAATGTTAAACACGAGTGAAGAGAAACGACCTGAGGCTGTGGAAAAGTCTGTAGAAATAAACTCACACAAATGAAAACTGTAACAAACCAAATACAAACGTTTGGTTTGATTTTCTGTTGTTTTAAGTTTGTTTCACATTTTGAGGGGCTGGACGACGTCATCGACCAAAATAAAACTGTTCATATTTTAAAGAACCAGAGGCGGCGCTATTAGGCAACAGCAGGCGGCTGCTTAGGGCCCCAAACCTGGAGGGGCCCCAAACCAATTGCCCTGAGAGCCACTAATGACCAAGTCCTCAGAGCAATTAGATTATATCTCAATATGACATTAAATGAGAATAGTTTTACTTTTAAACAAGAAAACACCATCAAGATCAAATCTGATTGTCAAAACTATTTGAACTATTAAAACATCCGACAAAACATCAAGTGTCTCCAGGATCAGCCCGTCCATCCTCTGGCTCCTGATTTTATCCTGATGCCTTCAGGGCGTCGGTTTTATGCTCCGATACAAACGACCAACTGGTTCTCTAATTCTTTTGTGTGCCCTGTGTGATGAAGCTGTTAAATTCTAAGGGTTCAGTTTTCTGAAAGTTTTACACTGTAATTTGTAGTTTATTATTGAGTTCCACTGGGGGACGGCGATGGACTGACACACTGAGTGTGTTTACATGAACATCAATAACCCGGTTATGATCGGCTTTTTTGAGTGTCCTGGTTTCTTGATGGTGCATGTAAACACAGTGTCCTGGTTATTAGAAACCGAGATACTGTAGCTGGTTTATTCCGATAGTAACTGTGATACTTGTGTCATGTAAACACAGTGTCCCGGTTACTGCAACATAAAGTTGAGTCACATGTGTCCAAAAGACACTTTCCAGCCTTTCACCACAACAGTAGAGACATAAATAAATTGACAAAACGAGTGAAATGACTGTAAAATAAAGAGCTGCACTAAACCTGCACATGTACAATCTGCACTCGTACGACCTGCACTCGTACGACCTGCACTCGTACGACCTGCACTCGCACGACCTGCACTCGTGTGACGCTGAAAATCTAAAACATGAACTATCTCCTGTACAACACACACACAGAACACAGACTCACCATCATCAGCACCTCTTCTGTCACAGAAATAACACACATAATCCACAGAGTCGAGTCATTTAGTCCAAAAGAAACTGATCACATCAGCGACACAAGGAGCAGTTGTTTTTATCGCCGCTAACAGTTTATGCTAATTAGCCAAACGGTCTTAAGTTTCGTTTCTGTAAAACATAAACAAATGTGATCAGAGCTGAATGATCTGATCAAACGGGCTGATGTGTCTATAGTGTTTATGGTTTATATGTTGTAAAGTTGAGTTTATTTGTTGTTTGTTGGTTTGATGTGTGCAGTGGATTGTGGGAGATCTCGTAGCTCCTTAGCTTCTTATGCTAAAGGAGCTCACGGTTTGTATTTTTCCTGGTTTATGAAATTGATTTAAGTTCATTTTTGCGCTTGTGCATTTGTAAGATTATGTCAAGAAACCGGGACACTCCATTTGATCATGTCCACGTGGATATGAGTGTCCCGGTTTCTCAGTGAACATGTAAACACAGTAACACGAACACTGACAGAACCGGGACATGGAGAATAACCAGGACACTGATGAACATGTGACACACTCACTGTGTTTGTGTGTGTTTGTGTTTGTGTGTGTTTGTTTGTGTGAGAAGTGAGAACTGCTCTGAGATGCTGCTAATGAATTGCCTTATGGGATCAATAAAGTTTTCTGAATCTGAATCTGAATCATCCCCCAAAACATCAGGACGGACGAGTCGACGTGACCCTGATTTGAACAGAATCAGAGTGAAATCATAATCATATATAATGGATGGAAACAAAAATGAAATTGTACTGGCAAAAAGTAAAACTAGTTTCAGCTCTTGTTTTTCTAGTAGAAGCGACGTAAGTAATAAGACGAGTTTCCAGTCCAGCTTAACTCAAATAAATATGTGCGTGTCTCAAGAAAAGACAATAAATATTCAAAAATATATAAAAAAAAACAATACAAAACAATAAAACTGTGTCTTATAGTGAGGGCCCCAAACTGCAAACTGCCTGTTAAGAACCAGAATCACACAAACTGAACTTTGTGCAGCACAAACGAAACACAAACGATTGACTCCATTTTGTGTCGTTTTAGAGCATTTTGAAGTTTCCTGGAGGCTGGTGACCCCAGTTTGAACTTAATCATTATTATCTCCAAAACTAAAACAGCTCAAATGAAACTTTTTGCAGCACAAATGAAGCACAAACAATTGATGTAGTTTTTGTGTAAGTTTGTATTTGCAATTTATCGGGTTAAATTTGATATTTTAAGAAACAAACAGGCTGATGTATTTGAGTTTTCCCGTTGTCTTAAACTGGCGGCACTTTATCGATAGTTTTTTTGTCAGATTTTTGGTTGTTTTGTGTTTTAAAGGAGGTGTTTTGGAGCCGTGTGGACAGAGACTCACCTTCAGTTTCATCTCAAACAGGTTTGTGAAGATCTTTTTTCTAACGCTGTTCAGGGTTGGGTTTGTTACACGTGTTGGACTCTTGTTCCATTATTACCTGTGTTATTTCAAAGAGTTTGTCCATCTGCAAACATCTGGGAGCTCACAGTGATTGACACAAATGCACTTCATCTGATTATCACTTATAGAAATGATCATTCACAAAGTAAAGACAAAAGTCTGAACTATAATGATTTAAAATCACTGTGTAAACTAATGAAACCTTTCCATGAATGTTAAAAATCTAATATATTGAAATGTTTCTATTTTTGGCCAAAGGTAGTGCAGTGATTATTTGTGACTCACTCATCACTCGGTCACTGAGGACATTACCATCCTTCTCTGTGGCTTCAGTCACAGTGATGTGTGAGTCCACCTCCGAGTCCTCAGCTTCTGTTTCCTCGTCAGAGACGTGACGTTGGGACTGAAGAGATCCTCAGATTATTCCTTCCACTGCTCAACATCTCCAGTCGAGGACGACAGCTCCTGACCTGCACTGTTCACTTTACACAGTAGAGTTTAATCTGTAAACAGCTGAAGCACTGCCTCCCCTCCTGAGTCTCAGGAGTCTTAGGAGCCTCAGGAGTCTCAGGAGCTCAGGAGCCTCAGGAGCCTCAGGAGCCTCAGGAGCCTCAGGAGCCTCAGGAGTCTCAGGAGCCTCAGGAGCCTCAGGAGCCTCAGGAGCCTCAGGAGCCTCAGGAGCCTCAGGAGCCTCAGGAGCTCAGGAGTCTCAGGAGCCTCAGGAGCCTCAGGAGCCTCAGGAGCCTCAGGAGTCTCAGGAGTCAACAAGGCCCGACAGGACTCCTTCTTCATCCCTTACTCCTGGCCTCCACCACTGGGTTCGGGGGTTGCAACAAGCACCAGAGACTTTGTGAGCGCAGCTACGAGCAGCAGACTGACAAAAGAACAGGTTCAAAACAGGTTCCAGGAGGTGAGTTTAAATCAATGCTGAAGGTTTGGAAATGAGATCTTTGGTTTGCAACAGTTTTAATACAAATTCTGGTAATTGTGTAACTGCTAATGTCCTGTTTTATCTGTGCTGCCGTCTTGGGCAGGACTCCACTGAAGGAGATTAATGACCTCAGTAGGAATTTTTTCTGATTAAATAAAAGCTATAAATGTTTATATATAATCAGACAGAGCAGACATCACCAACTTCATGTAGATCGTTCAGTTTTCCATCCTTTACTTTAATTACAATGACTGAACAAGATAAACTACATTTTCTCAGAGGCACTGACACTTCTGGACTTGGACACCTTTTCATTTTCTGATCCATTCATCTTGTTGGACGCATCTGTCCACAAACATTTACAAATATGTCAACAGTAATTCCACTTTTGAACACCAGAGGGCAGATTTTTGTGCACGTTTCTACATCACCACGAGAGGCCAGTGTTCCTGTTTCCAGGTCTGGTCCTGTGTGACGAGGGACCCGCCTCTACCTTGTGTGGCCCTGGTGAGTCTTGCCTCTGGACTTTGGGCTGTTTTCCATGAACTT